AAGAGCGTAAGTCGGAACAGAGCTTGGATGAAAACCAGAGCAGGACGACAGCCCGCAGACCCCCAGGAGGACAGAGGGGAGTGTTGCTGTGGGTCTCAGCGAGGAGCAGAAAAATCGCCCAGTTCCTAAGGTCCTGGCAGGGAGAGGGAGGGGAGGCCTGCCCGAGGACACCGTCCGTCTGTGGATCAATGCCGAGGTGGCTCCTAGCTAGGCGCGCCTGCTGTTGTAAGTCATGGCCAAATCAGGCCGTGGGTACGGCTTACGGAGTGGCTCGTTTCTTTCTGTCATGTTCGAAGGAAAGGAGGGAAGGGGCCTATCATTGGGGAACTTCTGAATCAGGGGTGCTGGGAACGTTACCCGCAGGCCTTAATTACTTGCACAGAAAGTTTTATCTGTGCTCTTCGGACTGACACAGTGCCAGAGCGGGGGTGCAAATGCGTTTGTGGGGCTTCGGCATGCTAGACGTGAACCCGGTCTGGGCTTGTTCCAGATCTCGTACTGTTTTCTCTTACCTGTGCTGTCCGTGACTGGCCATGGCCCACACAAGTCCAGATTTGGGGAGCACTGATATTCTAATTCCTCACGCGCCAGGAAAAGGCTCCACTCTTTCGGATGCCGTGACGTGCTTTGGGAGTTACTTGTGACACGTGGTTGGGGAGATAGAAACATGGAAATATGAACAATTTAAAAAGTAGCTATGTCACGCTTTTGGTGTTTTGTTTTTATTGAGGAAGGAAGACTTTTCACAGGGCCCTGTCATCCTCTGACCCTCCCCCCCGCAGCCTCCATGGTCAGGGACTTGGTTTCAGGCCCACTCAGGCTCCGAACCTGGGACAGCCACGTGGCTCCCAGTCCGCGGTTCAGGAGGCTGTGCCTGCCCCTCCGTGGCTGGCCAGAGAAAGCAGCAGCGCTAGAGAGGAGGAAACCTCGATAACACAGAATGCAAACGGGTGTTCCAAGCGATAGCGCCAAGTCGCCAAGCACGGTCGTATTTACTATCGTCCATTTACTAAGACAGAGGTGCAAGTAAAGGCTGGAAGGATGTCAGCCAGACCATGAACATTCAAAACTCTCGTCCTGTGCTGAAGGCAGGAGCGTCAGATGTTGGCGACATGCACGTCTGTGTCGTGGCGATCTGACTACACCGGGTCAGACCCTGGAATACCCTCGCGTGCCTGCCGCCCGGGAAGCATGTTCTAGATATCTCGTAATAGTACGTAGTGAGACGTTTAAGACTCTGGGGCCAGCAGGTGGCATGATGGTTAAGGCCATGTGGGAACATGGCCGACTGCTGTTCAAGTCCTAGACCTGGCAGCTTGCTTTCTCACTTTCTGTCTCGCTCTGGGGTGCATGCTTGCCCTACAACAAATTAAAAATGATAATGAGAAGAATAAATACAAAAATAATTCTAAGAAAAAATTTTAATGAAAGACATGGTTTCTTCATGAGGCCTTTATTCTAGTTAGGGAAATTGTATATATACACAGACACACACACACACATATACCACTAAGCATAGTATTTTAGAGCAGTCTCACACAGGAGGTGTCAAGTGTCACAGAGCCCAAAGAGATTGGTGTAAACAGAAAAGCAGCGTGTCCAGTTGTGGAAACAGGCGTAGAGGGTTCGGCGCTGGGCTGTGTGGAGAGCGAGTAGGCTGGAAATGACGGGAGTAAAGCTTGACCTCGCACTCGGGT